CGGCCTCTTCTGGGAGTATCCAAAACGGCGATGACCACGGTGAATTACTTGGGCGAATAATCACCAGATCAAGAGTCACTTCGTGAAGACCGGAATCTCGTCTTTGGTTTTTATAGAATGCTTGACTTGGTTTGTGAACGTTAATGGTCTACTTTCCGTATGAAATATTTTATGCATAATCTAAGAACTTCTGTTTTCTCTTCAATGTTGAGGTGATCTGTGCAGATAATTTTTCGAAATCAAATTGTTGCTGGCTTGCACAAGAATGGTCAACATGAAATAGTTCAAAATTATTTTCGTCGAATTGAAATATCGAGGGATGAGTACCTCACCCTCGTATTTATCGACTGGAATTTTGGTTTGAGAATGGATTTTACGTTCAAATAGTGTTTTTGGAGTTTTAGAGTTTTTGGTGTTTTAGAGAAAGTTCAGAAAGGACCCCGCACAAAACCATAGGGAATTGGCCCACAGTGGGATTTGCCTGAAATTCACATATGTTATTGGTATGAAGTTTCTGATCAAATGTTTTCATGTGACCAATCCTCTAAGACCAAAGATTTAGCTCTCAGGGCCGTATTTAGTATAAGTGCCAAATAAACAATGACACTATTTTTTTCAAGCCCATAATTTTTGTATCTCCCATTATAATTCAATTGAATAAGAAATGTTGCGAAATCTTGTCATTTACTTTTTCAATTACCTAACTCTATGATGTAAAAATAACTCTACTATCTAATTGAAACTTCATCTAATTCATAACTAACAAAATTGAAACCGATATTTTCAGGGTGGAGAACAAAAAAGTCAAGCACTCACTATCAACATAATTCCCGAACACTTACAGCTGCTGGAGTTCTGGAGTATTGCATCTTGCACTTGAAGATTAGCGGCATCTCTAATATGCTGTAGTACAGAAGTCGATGGGTAATTCACATTTTGATTATGGCAGGCAAATCCTAAATACTACAATATGCTACAAATAAGAGCACATGTTCCTAGTGTCCTTGCCCTTGATTCGCAACTGCAGTAGTATCCTATTATCAATACATCTTCTTCATCATTCTCGTCAGGCTGGTTTTCAAATAGCTTTGGAAAACAAAGAATGGGCACACACAAATATTATTATTTGACACATTGACAGTTATTGTTATTAAAATGCTTGTGCCTATTGAAATTCTTCGAGTTTAGGTTTATTTAAAATCCATATTTTGATTTTTATATAATATTCATATATATTTCAAAAGTGAAAATGGATCCCATGCATATGTTATGTCTTTATGACGTTATATGATATTCGGAGAATGGCACGAATTGATCAAGAGGGCGACGTTCATAAAAGGGAAGTGGCTTTCACAACAAGAAATGAAAGAGGTCATATAGAATTAGAGGTGAGCCCTGAGACAAGATTGTGTGTGAATTGCAATGTAGCAATTCTTGATAAAATTGCTACAATCGAACAAGACCCCGCTTGCATACGATTAAACATCCTAAGACAAAGATCCCACCAAAATGCTGTGTTCGCAATGGCCGTGAAGATTTAGTTAGGATATCTTTAGCAGCCCGAGTTACCGTATTCATAAAACAAAATATTTATATTCCTGAAGGAGTAAGATGTTGCCATCATCATTTGGACGAACAAAGACTCATGCTTAATGCTTTGTTGTCTGGATTGGAGTATGTCAATTGCCCATACATTCTGAAAAGAGAAACTCTCCAAGCTTTCTTGCAAGGTTTACGTAACGTTGCGAATAAAAAATCCAAAGATTTTTGTGAAGAAAATTCTTATTCGGACGACGAATTTAAAATAATTCCATTTCAAAAATTAAATTTCAAGAATTGTTTTGGGTATTGTGGATTCAGATATGTACTGAAGAAGGAGCTTTCAACATTTATGTGTAAGTTAAAACAAGGCTGACGAATTTTTGAAGATTATTTTTGCCTACACCACAAGACAGTCGGTGAGCTTAGCAATTAGCAAAGTGAGATTATCACTAAGAACCAGATTTGCTAGAGATAGCATCGACTTTTTTGTTCACCACCCTGTAAATATCGGTTTCAACTTTGTTAGTTATGAATTAGATGAAGTTTCAATTAGATAGTAGAGTTATATTTATATTATAGAGTTAGGTAATTGAAAAAGTAAATGACCCAATCGAAACGTGTTCTTCATCTTTCTGTTACTATCATTCCTAAAAAGCTAGGAGATATGTCCTACATAAAGATTAAATGTTAGGCAGACCATCTTGAATATTAAGATGGTGACCACTTTTGTTATGTACACAACGAAATCTTCATTCATCTATCAAACGACCACTGAAGGACAAGAAATAAGAAAGTAGGTTAAAACAAAATCAATTCGATTCGGCACTTTGGCAAATACCGTTTTACTAAATACGGTCCTGTAGGACAAGGCATGTTTCACAGAGGGCTTGTGCTAAGAGACAAATGCTAAGATTTCGCAACATTTCTCATTCAATTGAATTATAATGGGAGATACTTACTAATGGCTTGAAAAAAAAAAGTGTCATTGTTTATTTGGCACCTATACTAAATACGGCCCTGAGAGCTAAATCTTTGGTCTTAGAGGATTGGTCACATTTGATAAGAAACTCCATACCAATAACATATGTGAATTTCAGGCAAATCCCACTGTGGGCCAATTCCCTATGGTTTTGTGCGGGGTCCTTTGGATGCAAGGAAGTTCTTTTTTTTTGTCGACAAATGATATTCGATTATGATTCCTCGCTGACGTTCGATGCCACGGGAGAGTTTTCCTGTTCGTTCAAATCAGAATAGTCATCATTTGGTTGTTCGTCAAAATTTCCGGAATCGAAGTGTCCGTAGATTTGCTGATCAAATAATAGAGCAATGTCAATGACGTCATATGACGTAAAATTGTCGGCCATTGAACAGCTGATGGGGGGACAAGCATACACATTTTCCATAAGAGTACATGTAACTTTCTTGCACATTTCCCACTAAAATACAATACCTGGAGCATTTATTTATTGACATGTATGTTGATTCATTCATCATGAATGCTGTGAGAAATGTGAATGAGTCCAAAAAAGAGTTCAAATTGGTTTATTTGTCAATTTAAAATTACTGGATTCACTTGAGTTCAGCTCTAATATACCAAATATACCTCGTAATATACCTCAATAGATACTCATTTTGGAAGAAAATGAACACATTCTTCTCGCATAATATCTACAAGTTCAACAAAATCACCGATGGATCAGTAATAATAAAATCAAAATTCACACACAACTTTGTATGTCCCCCGATCAGCTGATAAAAACGACGTGTGCGCCATGTTGTGACGTCAGCTGACATTGCTCTATTCGGTATTAAACAATTCTTCTGTAATTGAGCTTGGTCCATGATTATTTGAAGAGAAATAATTTGAAATATGTCTCCTAAGTTGAGGGCGAGGGGTAATCCACTCTCCCAAAAACGTACACGGATTGGACAGATTATTATCGAATACTGAAAATACAAGATTCGACATTTGCATTGCAATAGGAATATTGGGCTGAGAATGTACCTTGGATTGGACAGATTTCATCGGGATTGGACACCAACTATACACATATTGGACATAGTAGTGGATTCCTCGATTGAGGGTTAGTATCACAGGTGGATGTGATCATAGGAGTAGGGCAATTTTGTGGGCTTTGGTTTGTCGGCTTCCAAACTTTTCTGGGTTTGCCAAAAATTTGTGTTTGTTGAAATTTGTGTACAGGTGGGTTTGGGGGAAATTGGGAATAATTATTTTGTTGAGGAGAGAAATTTGGTCGGCTTGGTTGAAACTGGTTGATATGTATTATTGGTAGTAGGAGGTATCCTAGAAAAATTATTACTCCATGTGGATGGATTTGATCTTTGATAATATTTGATATTGTTCTCTTCTATAACGAATTGAAGTTCTTAGGCAAGATTATTTAGCCTCATTGCACGAATTGTAGGACCTAATGGGTATCTCAAACCGGCTAAAATCGTGCTTGTTTTTTTAAGAAATCTCTCTTGCTATCTGGTTGAGCTGCTGGACAGTTTAGGTGGACATAATTACATATTGTATTCAAAAGATGCATGATTTTTTCTTGAAATTGAAAAAGCGTTTCATTTGGTTTTTGTTGCAACTTGACTAGATCCTGATTCAAATATTCAAACTGTTCTCGTCTCTTTGGTACCCAAAAACATCGTGAATTGCACAAACTTTCTCAGCTCTACCTCCTAATTTATTCAATATTCCATTGAATAAAAGCATATTCTGAAAATAAGTTGGATTCGCGTGGTCAATGCATTAAAATTGACTCTGATGCACTTCTAAATCTTTGAAATAACAAATTTTTAACAAATTAGGCACATAAATTCGCTACTTTTCTCTAATTCAAGAGGATTCGTATCTCCTACCATTTCCGAGATCCCATGCTGTTCATTCTTATCTTGGACACAGTGTATACCAAGATGTGATGATTTTGATAAATACACTGCCAGAGACAGAGCTAATAGAAGAAGCTGTGAAAGTTAAATTTGTTTCCGGAAATTTCAAGAAAAAAGTATGAATTGGCATTGAGGAAGAATTTATACTCTAAAAAAATACAGAAATATTTTTTTTTTTTTTGGAAAGTGTACTTTTTTGAAATACTTTGAGGAACTAGGAGAGGCATCTACTCTTTGGTCACAATATTCAATGTTTCATAGTGTCAAATTATAAAATGAATCAATAAGCTACATTACTTGGATTCTTTGAATGAGTGCAGTTGTTGAAAAAGTATAGTTTGCAACATGTGGGGAAAAGCACTTTTCTCACTGGTGTGTTTGCATCACTAGCCCTTCAGGCTCATGCCACTCCTAAGAAAAGTTGAACTTTTCCCACTTGTTGCACAATATACTATTGTGCCCCATGTTTCTTGTTCAGCTGTTCAACAATATGACAAGTGTGTCCACACTCTTTAAAGAGTGTGATGAGATGTTTGAAGCACTCTAGATCTTACCTTGTTCATGGTTAGTTTTTTGTGTCCTGTCATCATCATCTGATGATTGTGTTATTGTTCTTTGAAGAGCTTCCTCCAGAATGTGTCCTTTCCTATCAGAGAAATCCATGGATGATTTAGAGGAGGAACCATTGTCAGGCAACACTTTTTTGGGTAACTTTCCAACTTTGCCAATGAGAATAGGTTTTTTGAAAGTAGTTTCCCTATTCACCTTTTCCTGTTTCTTTTCTTGTTGGTCAGGATTTTCTTCATTCGTGACATTTACCTCTTCCTGTTTCTTTTCTTGTTGGTCAGGATTTTCTTCATTCATGATATTCACTATGAAGAGTGCTCCAAGGATTGCTCTTGCTGACGACTTTCAAACTTCAAATGCGTAACTTCTCTATGAAATGATGTCCCCTTTGAGGTGCAATATTTGGAACTATGATCAAAAGCAAATCAAAGGATTACCTACTAGGTATAATTATACTACAGTAGCCAAGCTATCTAGCCACTATCAGGGTCAGGTCCAAGTCACATATTATATTATGATGAGGCAATAAATAAAATTAATTTGATGAATCTGGAAAAAATCCGTAATGATTGTTAAAATCTATACAAATTTTAATAATCCATAACATAACCCATTTTTATCTTATTTACATACAAGTACTCTAGTCTAGAGTGACTATCTCTAGTCTAATCAGTACACTAGCACTTGCTAGCACTAGCAGTAAACTGTGGTAGATGAAAATAAATAGTACTAGATTATATTTCGAAAGAGTACTAGAACTGGGAATTTAGTACTGAACTTTGATCATTACCCGTCATTGATCATTACTTCAATTTTCTTCAACTGTGGCACTAGTGCAGCAGGCATGAAAATAAATAGTACTAGATTATATTTCGAAAGAGTACTAGAACTGGAAATTTAGCACTGAACTTAGATCATTACTTCAATTTTCTTCAAATTTGTCGCCCCTGAGGTGCTTGCATAGGTTTATTCACAAATTCAAGTCGCCAAAACACCTAATATGAGTGGAATGATTCCACCATTTGACATTATTGAAATTAAAAATGAAATACAATTGATCAGAGTAATCGAAATATTTTCAAAACTGAAGGAATGCAAGGTGAAGTTGTATACCAAACCCATGTGAAAAATGAACTTGGAAAAATGAGGGCTAAAGTTATTTTAATTTTGTTCACCAAAACTCGCCACTGAAAAGTAAGGTGAGGGTTGCATGGTAGACCTGATAAATAAACTTCTAATTTCCTTGTCATTTGGCATCTATAACTACGATATCTTCTTGTCCGTCAATGTAAGAATGGGCGTATACACCTCTTGGTAAAACTTTCAACTCAAACCATGTTTATAATGATCCTTTCATACATAAATAATGATTGACGACATAATTCGATCGAAAAATTTACTGGAATGTTCAATTTTTGGACATAAATAATAGTACCATCTGAAAACGGACCCTCTTATGACGTAGAAACCTCATCTCGCCATAGTTAAAAGAAAATACAAAATGCCCGACGGAGGCTGAGGCAACTGATATATTAATTCTATATGCTGTGATCTCGCGCTAATTCACTCTGTCAGAAATCATGTATCATTCATCTCTGTCTGGAATAGTCTTGTTTCAGTATTAGGGTTTTGACGTCACATCATCGCCTCGTTTTCAGAGGTCCGAAAAATCGGGGATTTCAATAATTTTTCATAAAACCTAGGGAGCTCACAGCGATAAACCAAAGAGGAGAGGGGTGACTAACCTATATTCTTTGGATAAACGGTTTGCTGTGGTGAGCTAGTTTGGGTGAGTTCTATCGAATTATGGAATAAAAAATTTTTGTGATATAAGCCTATTGGTCGTAAAGTTTCACATTGAGAGTAAAAGTCGGTTCGAGTCTTTCGTTAACTTGAGGTTTTCTAATATAGGTATTTGTTCAAATATTCTATTATTTTCTTTGAAACTTTGTGCACGTCCATCCGGCAAAATTCTTGGAATTTTGACTCAATTTTTCAAGCGTTGATGTCACTTACGTCAACATATCACGTCATACGTCAACGTCAATACTACTAGAGTCAATAGAATTCAGCCTAATTGAGGTTTAACCCTTTCTTCTATTCATGATTCGTCTGAGGTTTAGCCCTAGATCAATGAAGGAAGTACGAAGTACGACGTATTGAAAATTTCAGAAAAATCACTCGACCGGCCTCTACGTCACAACGAGCGAGACGTTGATTCTACATTTTCCCGCTAGATGGTAATAATGCTGCTATTGCTTTGCTATTGCTGCTGTGACGAGTGGAAATTAAATGGCAAATAATTATTTGAATGGACAGTATTCAAATAGATGGATAGGTAGATGCAATGGACACCGATGGATTATTTTTTATGGGGAGCTTTGGAAACCCTTGTCTATTCTAGGCCAGTTAATATACAGAAGATGATTTAAGGAGGCGTATTATTCAAACTGAAATTGACGCTTTAAGAAATGATGACGGAATGCTCGAAAATGTTCAATTTAACTTTTTAAAACGTATTAATCTTTGTACACACGAAAATGGAGGTCATTTTGAACATTTGTTAAAATCTTTTTTTTTTCAATTAGGTAAATTAAATTAAACTTTTGTTGTTGATAAATCTCCTATTCCTATTCCTAATGACTATATTTTTACTAGAGAATAAAATTACCAACACATTTATGTACCTACTTCTTATTTTTCTAAGTTTTTAGTGACGTTATTTCAATTTACTGCCTACGCTTCAAATGTGTTCAATTTTATTATTACAATAATTTAGACCTGGCCATTTTCGAAAAGAATTTTTAAAATCCATCAGATATCTCAAAACCAGCTGCTCAAATCAACTCTTACCACGTATACATTTTTTATGTGAAAGACGTTGGACAATCCGAATTTGCATTTGAAAATTGAATATGGGGTGGCTCAAAAAAGTTATTTCGTTTTAAATGTGTGCAAGGTCTCGCAGGTGGCGCCCTCTTAACTTTACAATAAAAATGATAGCAAATTCTAATTTTTCAACCAGCAAAACCCTCCCGAGCCGAATATTGTGACAATACACCAATTATTAAAAAAAAAATATTGATAAAAAATGAGAATCAAATTGAACTTTTGACACTTTGTATCTCTGGAATCATCCACTTTTGGTCTGAGGTAAGTTGAGTTAGATCGTCATATTTACGCCTCAGGAACTTGTGGTATCTTTTTTCCGCACCTTTCAGGGACACCTTGTATATATATTGAGTCGCCTGAAAGTAAAATTCTTACCGATGAATATTCAGCTAACGAATATGAGGGTGTACTGGCCGATACTTTGAATGCCAGGCAACTTACAGCACCTGCCTATTCACTACTGCCAATCTCCTATGTAGGCTGAAGAAAAATGGCTATGGAGGAACGGGTATTTTACGAGAGAATCGCTTACCACGAAACTCTCCTCTGCTGACAACGAGAGATATGGAAGAGCATAGAGAGATTTCTTAGCTGCCTTCTGTATTTATACTTCCCATCAACCTCGATACAATTAAGGACAGCTCAATCCTAGATTCTGATTGATCGGAATCCTCAACCATGCCTGCAGGAACTATAGCATCCAAAAGCACATGTCTTAAACTCACAAAAATGCGAAAAAAAGAAAGATATTCAACACTAAATGGGCACAGGAACATAATCTGTATACTACCCTTGTTAGGTTTTAGAACGAAAAATATTAAAGTTTCATTTTTGAATGTGGTCTTGCGCGAAAATGGAGGTAAAAACAGTGAACCCAAAGCAGATCGCAAAAAGTTTTCAGCGACAAATTTGTGCCTCGATTCACCGATATTCAGTATTGGCTTGACCGCCGGAGTTGCAATTTTCGTTCGTTCGATACGAATTTCGCTACTTCGCTTATTTCGCTATTTCCGCTTATAAATTATTATTTCGCTAATTCAATAAAATGCAACAGTGATCTTCGCATGAGCAATACATTGCTGCTTTTGCTACGTTATAAGAACAGGTGCTACACTTTGAAGAATACCGGCATCCAGGGAGCTCCCGAGAAGTGACAAATCCAGCTTTCTTGGATTTCCCTAAAGAAGATACCACGGATCGTCTATGGTAAGCTGTTTTGACTCCTCGCTATATATACCACAATTTAAAAGTTAGTTTTGCGCCTTTGATTAGAAACAGTTCATTTTTCTTGTACCACATTTGAGCTATCGAATGCCTTTGTGGCGCACATTTGGTCCTTCGAGCCGGATCTCAATAAAATTTTCCGGAATTTTCATAATTTTCATATTTCCAAGATTTCAAAATAGCTTCAAAAGTATCAACTTTGATCATTAGTATTTCTCTAACTATTCAATTGTCGACTTGAATCCTCTATAATAATTGTATTTTTCAAAATTTAGTTGACTTCTGGAAATTATAATTTTCTCTAAGTACGCACATCCATAAAATATATATACGTTCGCTATATGCGCTGTTCTTCGCTAGCCATTCAACGTGTTTTTTGCTTTATTGCCACAAAAAGTCTGGGGTCTCCGGTCGCGTTTTTCTATCTTCTGTTATTCGTGTTTTTGCGCTTGGCCGTTGAACTCAAAATAATCATTGGAATTCCGTCAGCTGTTTGACTTCACCTATATTTTAATACGCTCTTCGAAAATTTATAAACAGAATGGCAGATAAAATGAAAAGATATGTATTGCTTAGAAATAATTGTGTGTCGGATATTCATACTTTATATTCAATTGGCCAACGAGCTGAACAGGAAAAAACCTATATTGCAATGTTTCGAGTTCGATACGAGGAAATCGAACAAATTCGCGATAACTTTGAAAAACAAACTTCGAATATTCTTGCTATTCTATTACAAAATGAAGCACCTGATCTAGGCACCGAAGACACCATACGAGAAGCTTTCATGAACGATTATTGGGCATCAGTACGCGCCTTACATTTGAAACTGTGCGAAGCACCCCGCGCTGATTCAATACAAAACGTTTCTTGGAACCAAAACCATTCGCATATACGCTTACCTAAGATTGATTTAATAAAGTTCAACGGTGACTACAAGTTGTTTAACACGTATTTAGATCACTTCAACGCATTAGTACATACAAACGAGTCCCTTAGTTTGATAGAGAAATTCAATTATCTGATGTCCTCACTGGAGGGTCCTCCTCTGTCGCTTGTTCGAACCTTACCTCTGACCTCAGACAATTATGAAATTGCTCACGATTCTTTAGTAAAACGTTATTTGAACAAACGACTACGAGCTACTGCACACTGGAGTGAGATAGAGAATTCAACAAAGTTGACTTCAGAAAATCCTCATGCCGTTCGAAAATTAATTGACACATCTTCTGAAAATTTGGCAGCTCTCAAAAATTTAGGTTTTCCCATTGAGCATTGAAACTTAATTTTAGTACATATGCTGTTGAAAAGATTAGATACCTCAACAGTGACACGGTTCGAGTTAGAGCATGGTTCTTCTGAAGTCCCTGACTTT